AGAGGTGGGTTCAGAATTTGGAGCTGAAAGAAGGCAAAAACCCATTTAGAAACTAGCAGAGTGTGGGTCAGGAGCAACCCAGGGAGGCCCAGCACTTGCTTAGCCTAGGAGAGACACCAGGATCAATTCTCAGGGCCACAAAACAAAGAGCTGTGCCTCAGCCTTAACAAAGCATCCTACAACACTGCAGGGCCACTAAGAGCCAACTGAAGGCCTACATGAGGGCCTGGGCTCCTCACTGCAGGTGTGCTCATGGGAGGCCCCTGAAAGCAAAGCTCACACAGTAATCTGAGGAAGAGCTCCTAGTGATTGTGAATTACCACATGGGCCTGGGAACCACACCCAGGCCCTCTTCAAGAGCAGCCAGTGCACTTTAGCACTTTGTTGACTGAACCATTTCTCCAGCCCCAATAGCCTCAAATTGTTGTAGAAAACTATTTTTACTATTTCTTTCCCCTCTTACGTTTAAACTAACAGTAAGAAACTCAGTTCCACAAAAATTATACAGGTCATGGACCAATCATAATTTGCCCCAAAACATTTTGATGTTCCTTTATGTTTAAGTGGTCATGTTCTTTAGTTTAATGGATTAACAATATAAGGCATGTAACTTCCAAATACTAGGAGAAAACATAATGGAAAAGCCACATAAATATGTTTAATGACTTCTTAGATATGACACCAAAAGCAGAAGCAACAAGAACAAAAATAGGCATGTAAGACCTAGGCTGGGGAATGCAGTTCAGCCCCAGAAACAAGAGAAACAGACTCACGGAAGAAGGCGAGGACCCCTGAAACTTGTCCTCTGACCCTCACATACATACTGCATATAACACACTATTTTTTTTTTTTAATGGGCAAAAGTTGAGTGTGGTGTCCTGTAGCTGCAACTCCACCACTCAGGAGGCAGAGGCAGGAGAATCTTAAGAGTGAGGACAGCCCATAAGATGTAATCATGTTTGACGCCAACCCTAGGGGAAGATCTGCTATTTTCTGCAACATGGGCACAGTATTACACCACTCCTAATGATTTGTCATTATACTCATCTATCAATCCATTTCTCAGTTGTCACCTGAGAAACTATTTGCAGAAGATAGTGATTAACACAGAGATCCACGACCATCCATGTGCAGAGATAAAGAGACTAAAATGTTCAGCCCTAAAGGGAACACATATTTAAGGCTCATAGATCATTGAGAAAGATAGGCAGATCCAGAGGTGGATGACAGTGTTCTCTGGACACAGCAGGGCAGCTGCATATATGAACACACAGCAGTTGAAAAAGCATGCACAAAACCTGTGCAAGCCCAAGTTACAGGAAATTCCATCATGGAGATTGGAGTTGAGCACAACATCCCACTTCTAGTTGTGGGTATTGATAGCTGGTGGCTGCTGGGAGAGGGAGAGACAGTTTTCTCTAAGAGTATAGACCCTGGTAAGCCCTCCCCCCCCCAATGGAAGAGCACACATCCAAGAATATTTGGGCAGCACAATAATTTGGTCTTGACAGGTTTAAAGTTGGAAGGGTCAGGGGTGGGTGCTGCTTCTGTAAAGAATTGGGTGAGGGGGTGATATCAGAACATTTTACAGAACTATCAAAGAAACAAACAAAACAAGTAAGGTTAGCCTTAGCTACCAGCTAATCCATGCAAACCTGCACTATAGTAAGGCCCCATTGCAAACAAACAAAAAGGATGGAGTAGGGGATATAGATTCTCCAAAAAAGACAGACTAGGCACCAAAAATGTGAGAAAATGCCTAACTTCACTAATCATAGTAGGAGATATCACCTAACATCCAGTGGAATGCCAGGTAGTAGTGGCTCATGCCTTTAATCTCAGCACTGGGGAGACAGAGGCAGGCAGATCTCTGAGTTTGAGGCCAGTCTGCTCTACAGAGTGATTTCCAGGCCAGCCAGGGCTACACAGAGAAACCCTGCCTTGAAAAACAACAAACAAAAAATAAAAAACTGTTGAGGACACAGAAAAGTTGAAATCCCTTGTGAGAATGTAAATTGGTACAACACCTAAGGAAAACAGTATGGATTTCTCAAACAGAAAAGAAAAAGCATCATATATTCCAGCCAATTGCACTTCTCATTGGACGTCTGTCTTGAAGAATGAAAAGCTGTATCTCAAAAGATGTGTTTGTATAAGCATGCTCACTGCAGCATGTCACAATCGACAAGAGGTGGGTCCAACCAAAATCAACCAGACAAATGGGTAAAGAGAACATGGTGCATGCATATAACAGTTTCCCAGCTTTGTAAGTTAGGTATGGGGGTTGGAGCGATGGCTCAGCAGTTAAGAGCACTGGCTGCTTTACCAGAGGCCCTGAGTTCAATTCAGAGCAACTACTTAGAGGCTCACAACCATCCATAATGAGAGCTGGTACCTGCAGGCATACATACAGGCAGAAAACTGTCTACATAATACATGTTTTTTTGTTTTAAGTCAGGTATGATGGCACAAGCTTGTTAATTCTAGAATTCCTGAGGCTGAGACAGGATTGCCATGAGTTTGAGGCCAGTGGGAAGGCACTGTTACAAACATCTAATTCAAATTATGCTTTGAATAGCAAATTCTTTGAAAATATCCAAAAGACTGTTTAGAGGAATGACGCTAAATGGCACATTCAGTTAACATAATATTCATAGAATATGGATATATACATGAGGCTCATGTAAATCTGTATGTGCAGAGAAATATGCTGCAAGATATACAACTGACAGATCTCTCTCTCTCTCACACACACACACACACACACACACACACACACAGCCAGAGAGAAAAATTAAGAAATCCTTAAAATTGTGGCAATATGGATGATAAAACAGTAAATAAACCAGGCACAGAAAAATACTGCATGTTCTCAATGTGTAGAACCCAGAATGAGTTAAATGGAGAGGCTAATGGAAAATTGTTGACACTAGCTACAGTGAGTTACAGCTCTGGGAGGGGTGTTTCAAGACAAGAATTTCTGTGTAGCTTTGGAGCCTTATCCTGGCCCTGTGACCAGGCTGGCCTCAAACACACTAGGGTGACTTTCAGAATAACTTCTATTTTACAAGGCAGTATCAGTGATCCCAAGAGTTACAGCATAAAGAAATTGTGCTCATAAATAGATGCAAATTCAAGCTAACCTGAAGGTATCATAGTGTCTACCCATGCAGAATTACATTGCATACTGTTTGTACAAATTAAATGGAAAGCCTAGGAGGCCTCAAGTTTGATTTCCATAAACAAAATGAAAAATCTCTATGCTCTAAAATTCTAGTAACACAATTTTTGGGGGTGTTGTTTATGGATGTTAATGAAAAATAGTTAACTACAAAATACAAAGTCAAAATTTTTGTAGAAAACAATGTGTGCTTTAATGTGCTCTGAAAGTAAAATATGCTAGTTTTAGGATAGTTCCATCTCATTTAATTCCAAAAGATAAAATCCCTTTTGTGTCATGTTTCTCCAGTCAGAAATCCCATAATTGGGGTCTCAAATATTACTCAAAGAATCCTTCCAAGTAATACCACTGGCTAGCATGTTCTCTGGAAACCCGGTCTTAGAAAACATCCACATATGCATTTGAAGCAGCTATGTTAATCACAAAAGAATTTAAAGTCAGTCTTGTAACTTGATCCAGCTTTCTGACCCAATAATCTAAATTTGGGATTTGATTCTGCAGCCAAAGCTTTCCACTTCCTTTTGCCTGTGTTATTTTACATCCACAAACCATACATATAAGGCCCTTGGGAGGTCAGGTGCAGAAACCAGAGACTGCCATGAAGTGGCTCCAACTCCCTTGGATATTGCTAGGTTCCTAAAGCAGCAGTTTTCAATCAGGGAAAGTAATCCCTCCCTTTACCTCATTCATGTGAGATTTCTCAGAACCATGATTCATGGATACTGATCAGCTAGCCTGTCCTTATATTCAAGGTGGTTTTATCTCACCAAGCACTCTGAAAACTTGAAAGATAACTTTCCTAACTAATTTCCGGGTAAGTTTTTGAGACTCAGTCTTACTAAATGTAGCCCTGCCTGGCTGAAAGTACTAAGACTAAAATGGCCTTGACTTTAAGAGAGCCACCTGCCTTGTGTTGGGATTAATGACCTGCATTTGACCCATGCCCTTTACCTACTAAAGATACAGCTCCACCCACAAACAAAATGTTATTTGGATGTTTTCATAGGATAAATCAGTTAATTCTGCTCAGGAGGCTGAGTTCATGATCTGCCATATAGTCTTGGGTTATTGACTTAATTCAACACACCTGGGGAAAGGAAGCTTATTAGCCTGTGGGACATTTTTGTTAATGGATACAGCTAGGTCTAGCCCACTGTGGGAAGGTATTACCTATGTAAGGTAGCAGAGAAGCCAGCCAAAAGGTCTAGGCCAATATCCAAAGGAATGCATTCTCTAACCCCATTAAGTGACATAATGCCAAGTACATTTTGTATATAGATCTCATAATTTGCAAAATGTTCATTACTTATACCCACTGGATAAAATAAAATGCTTTAACAGAGCACTGCAAAAGGCTGGGATTCCACTCTGTTAAACCCCAGCCTTGACAATGGTAAAGTTCAACACTCAAAACAAGCTTCTAGAGCTCTACTGTGAGGTCTACCTCAGCTAACAGTTCTAGAATGGTTTTTCAGTTCATGTGACCAAGTTTTAGATGGGATTAGCATGGTCTACACTAAAACCATGACCCAAACATAACCCCCAGACTTAAGGGTCCAGTAACCAATCTGCCCTCCCCTATTAACCAAATCTAGCCTTTTAAGCTGGTTTAGTAGCCTCCAGGAATGTTAACTTTTCTTAAACGTCATCTCTAATTAGTTTATAGCTGAACTGCCTGCTCTCTTTCAAGGACTCAGGTTCAGTTCCCAGCATTTACACCAGGCAACCTAACACAACACACACCCTTATGGCACACGTACAAAACACAAAATCACAGGGAAAATAATGTTTTCTGAATGAAGGCCAACAAAATTTAACAGCTGATCAAGTCAATTTATTAAAATAGCTGACTTAGGCATCTGCAATAGTGACTTCCACCTCCACTCCTGGCTCGATACTGATGGAAGTGATCTGTTTAACGATCTCTGAAGGACTGTGTAAGTCGATGAGCCGCTTGTGGATTCTCATTTGGAAACGATCCCACGTCTTGGAACCTTCACCACAAGGTGTTTTCCTTGTAGTGATCCTCAGTGTCTGCAACAAAACATTAGAAGCTCTATAGTGTACTTCTGAGCCGCTTTCCCCATACTCTTAACAGATTTCAGAAACCAGCAACTCCCACAAGGCAGCAGCACGCTTGGAGTTTGACGCTGTAACGAGGCATCATACCCACTCGGCACCATCAGGCATCTGGGCACCTTGCACAAGCTCAACTGTATCCCAAGAGCCTCCTTTCGTACCCAGGCCGGGAGCACCTGTCTCACACCACTGGACAGACGACCCCTCCCGCCATTTACCTTGGTGGGCATGCGCACCGGTCCCTTCACCTTCAGATTCTTTTCCTTGGCGCCTCTGATCAAGTCGGCACACACTACAGGGAAGAGGAAACGAGGGGCTCTCAGTTCACGCAAAGGGACTCCAGGTCGCCTCGAGGAGGGCAGCCTGTCGGCTCAGAATAGCGTATAAGGCACATCACCCGAGCTCAGCACAGTAGGTGTCTCCTCACTGCCGACCGCCCCCCCCCCCCGCCCCACGGTGCAGCAGGCACGGCGTGGACCCCGGACTGACCCTTCTCCAGCGACTTCACGTTGCGGCTGGTGAGCGTGATCCGGATGCGGTGGATCGCCACCTCGGGCTCCACGGGCGTCTTCCCGGTGTCTTTAAAGGCCTGCCAACCACGCCGGCGGGAAAGCAAACAGCGAGAGAGCGTTAAGCCGCGGCCCACTCCAGCAAGACCCTGCCCCGGGGTCGGCGCTCGCCGCGCCCGGGGATCGCGAGCCCCGCGGACGCCCCAGGCCTCACCATGGCTGCGGCGCGGCTTCCTGACCGACTTGTTCCCCGGCGGGAGCGAACAGCGGTGAGTCAGGACGGGAGCACACGGCGCGGAGCTCCGCCGCACGCACCAGCACGCCTCAGAAAGGAGGGCGGGGGGCCGCGCGAGCGTTTATAAAGCACGCTCGCATCCGGGTCCCTCGCGCCCCGGAACAGGAAACGCCCCGCCCACCCAGAGGCGGCCGCGGGAGGCGGGGGCCGCAGCGCCAGCGAGTTGGCGGGAAAGGCGAAGGCGCGCGCGCCCCCGTCCGGCTCGGCGGAGTCACTGCCCCTACCCGGGGGACTCCGGTCCCCGCGCTCTGTGCTGAGTCCCTGGCAAAGCGTTGCCCTCCCTGGTCTTTGCAGACCTTCCTTCCCCTGCACACCCAGTCAACCTGCTTTTTTGCCTGACAAGTGAACGGCTTCTCTGGGTTTCGCTAGCACGGGCGTAGGGGTTAGAGCGACCCAGACAAGTCAGGTGTTTGAACTTACTTATTTGGTGCTGCAGTTAGAATCCAGGCAGGGCTCAGCAGAACAACAACAAAAAAAGCACCATGAACCCCGAGTTCGATCCTGTGTATCCTCGGTGGAAGGAGACAATGGATTCCGGAAAGTTGTCTTAACACTTCCGATCGAGAGCTTGTGGCACCCATGCCCACCCCGTATTAATAACTAAAATTACGTTTTAAAAATTATTTGGCGGGGAAGGGGCGGGCGTTGGTGGTGCACATGCCTTTAATCCCAGCACTCCGGAGGCAGAGGCAGGCGGATTTCTAAGTTCGAAACCAGCCTGGTCTACAGAGCTAGTTGTATTGACAGGCTCCAAAGCTACACAGAGAAACCCTATCTCGAAAAGCAAGCAAAATTATTTGGAAACTGTCTTTGAGAGCCCTTTTGTGATATTTCTGCTTCGGGCTTCCTGGAAGAGTGGACACGTCTATATCTGCTGGGAAAGACCCGAGCTGAGCGTCTACACCTCCAGCCCAGGGCTCTGTCGAGTCATGTTGTACCTGCAGCCTGACCTGTGTACCCAGTTTTAACCAACACATTCCCTCCTCTGTGTTGCGATGAAGCAATATGCATTGGCTAAGACCTCCGAGGACTCCCTTAGATCGGTGCATCTGTTCATAATTAAACCCGTGTCCAGATACAGCGGAAGGAAAGCCAAGCTAGGCCAAAGCCAGAATCAAAGGAGGGTGCAGGTTGATCTCCTGCTTCAAACTCCCACCCTGTCAAGGATGAGGGAGTGGTCAAATAGAATGTAAGCAAGGAGGTGGATTTAGGACAAGACAGACAAAAATAACATTAATTTGCAGGTGAAAGTTATTTATTCAGACCTGCCAGACTGGTGAGGGTCTGCACACTGACTCCCTCCAATCAGGGATTTAAAGAAACTCTCTTCTGATTTTTGGGAGAGAACTAGACTTGAAACTTATAATCACCAGAATTTCTAGTGAGCTAGTAACAGGCTTTATGGCTCATAATGAATAGGAAGGTTTTCTGTAATTGAACAAGTAAGGTAAGTGTTAAAATTAGGAGATTTTTTTTTCAAGTTTAATTATTTTTTAATATAACATGCTGACTGCAAATACTCTACTAGTAGATTTCACAGCAGGAAAAAAAATCTGAAATCTGTATTCTTTTTGTTTTCTTTTCTTGCTTATTTGTTTTGCTATTCTGAGACAGGGTCTTACTAAGTAGTTTTGGCTGTCGTGGAATTTACAGAGATCTCTCTGCTTCTGCCTCTGGAGTGCTGGGATTAAAGGCATGTATGTACCATCAGCCCAGCAAAACCCTGCATTCCTATTTTAGTAGCTGTGACCTCAATGGAACTTTAAATCTGTTTGATATATTTATAGGGTCAACTGCAAAAAATAGGCAAATGTATGATAGACAGCTTCCTGAGATATGTTCTGTGTTCATATCAAGAGGAGTTGGATCTTCACAGACTGCGCAGCAATGGTCCAAGGTTTCCAGAAACTCAGGGGAGTGCTTGAAAAGTACAATCATAAACTTTTTAGTAGCCCAGGGTGGCTTCGAACTTAAAATTCTCCTACCCAGTGCTGCAGGATCATAGGGCCTCAACACCACTTCCAGTTAGAATTATTTTCAGAATCAAATCTTAGACTCTCCTTACTTCTAAGCACTTGAGGAAATGGTGAACACGTAAACTTCTTGAATAGTAAGAAAAGGAATTTTGAGCTGGGTGGTGGTTGCACACGCCTTCAATCCCAGCCTTTGGGAGGCAGGCAGATCTCTGTGAATTCAAGGCCAGCCTGGTCTACAGAGTGAGTTCGTGAGTTCCAGGACAGCCAGAGCTGTTACACAAAGAAACCCTGACTCAAAAAAAAAAAAAAAAAAAAAAACTAAACAAACAAACAAACAAAAAACAAATCTAAAAAAAGAAAAAACAAAACAAACACACAGAACAAGGGCTTAGATTTCCCAAGGACTCTCCTTGGATATCAGGCACATATATGGTACATACATATATGTAGGCAAATCCTCATAGGCATAAAATACACAAATCTTTAAAAAAGAGCATTAAAAAAAGGAAAGCAAAGGGAAGCTTCCTTTAAAGATTGTAACTATGGCTGAGGATTGACTACAGAGTATTTGTACAACATGTGTGAGCTTTGGTTCAACCTGCATCACCACACTAAATAAAAATGAATATAACCACCGTATGTTCCAGAAATCCCACCTTTGGGTGTCTGTGAAATCAGTGTATCAGGGCTGGGGGGGGGTGACTCAACAGTTAAGATCCCTTGCTGTTCTTCCAGAGGACTCAAGTTTGGAAGTTTCTTAATTACCTGTAACTCCAGCTCCAAGGGATCCATTGGCCTCTTCTAGCCTCTGGACACACAAGTGCCCTACACTAACAGACACATGGCCATAAATACAAATACATATTTTTAAAGCCAGTATCTCAGAGACATACCTTCTCATATCCATTGCAGTATGATTTACAATAATCAGAGTATGGAAACAGCCCGAGTGTCAGCAGGTACGTGAATAAAGAAATGGATGTACATACAGATGGAATATCACCTGCCCCTAAAAGAGAAGAAAAGGAAGCCCGATGTCGATGTATATCTGTGAGACTATTGCATTGTTTGAAGTGGAGTCAGGAAGACAAACAGTGTGTGTTCTCAATGATATGCGGCAACCAAAAGTCTAACTCATCAAGGCTAAGAGGGACAGGGTGAGACAGCAAAGTCTGAGATGTTTAGTAAAAACCCTTGTTTAAGATTTGCTTGGTTTTTATTTCAAACTTCTTGCTGTGCTTTTCTCTTGAAAATTAGTGGTTATAGTCCTGCCAAGATTTCCAGGTAAAAGGTAATTTTCAACGTTAGTGTGTAAGGTAGCCATTGAATGAAAAGTAGAAATTAACAGTAAGTAAAATGCTAAAAGAAAACATGTATTTTTTGCCATTCCAAGGTAAGCAATTTAAGCCTTTAGGTATGTACATATCTTTTAAAAATATGGCCTATGTCCTATGTACAATGTGATTCCAAGAATATTTTATTATAAGTATATTTGTTTAATCCTGTCTCTTTAATAAAATAATTGTTATAATAATTATTAGTGTGGATGTGAGTATGATGTATGTGTGTGATGTGTGTGGTGTGTGTGTGATCTGTGTGTGTGTGTATGATGTGTGTGGGTATGTATGATGTATGTGTGTGATGTGTGTGGTGTGTGTGTGTATGATGTATGTGTGTGATATGTGATGTGTGTGTGTGATGGTGTGATGTGTGTGTGTGTATGATGTGTGAGTGGTGTGTGTGTGCATGATGTATGTGTGTGATGTGTGTGTGTGAGATGTGTGTGTATGATGTGTGTGATGTATGTGTGCAGTGTGTGTGTGTGTATGATGTGTGTGTGTATGTGATGTGTGATGTGTGTGTGTGGTATGTATGTGTGTGTATGGTGTGTGGTGTGTATGGGTATGTATGTTGTGTGTGTGTGATGTGTGTGGTGTATGGTGTGTGGTGTGTATGATGTGTGTGTGTATGATGTATGTGTGTGATGTATGATTTATGTGTGTGATATGGGTGGGGGGACAGAGAACAATTGGTTATCTTCATTCCACCTTTACTTTTGGTTTTGAGCCCAGCCTTTATATGGGCTATTTGGTGCCAATTTTAGTCTCTTCTAGCAGTTTTGTGACTATTAGTTAAAACTTTCAGAATGTGTTACGTGCCTGACTACTGAATTCTACCACCTCTAAGTCTAAAAGTTATAAAGTAGCATCAGAAACCTCCATAAAAAGGCTTCTTACTCTCTGGTACTTGGCCACTTAGTGTCCCCATCGATGGGTCCTGGTCAGTGCATTGATTTCTTTGTTCTGTGATTCTAATACTTCATATAACCTCTCTGAGGAGGGCCGTATCATTCTGAGTGACCGAGTCTGTGTTCCCGTGCTATGACCACTGATGCCCGGCTTGGAAGAAGTGCTCTCTCGTTCCCCTTGGAGCAAGAGCTGTGTTTTTGCAGGAATACTCAGTATCATGAATTGTGTGGAGGGGTCCTTGGTAGTTTTTAGACATGGGTTTGCTCGCTCTCTCTCTCTCTCTCTCTCTCTCTCTCTCTCTCTCTCTCTCTATCCCTGATAAACAATCCCAGTAGATGTAAGACTGTCTATCAGGCCTCCTAATCTCACTATTATGGGTGAGGCTGGGTGGGAGTGTCTGTACTGCTGGATACTTAGTCATACCTTTGACCTTTAAATTCCTCCCTCTTACCAACAATAATCCATCCCCTCGAGCAGTGACATCAAACACAGGTCCAGACACTGCCCAGTGTTTTCTGCGGGGCATAGTCAGGACCCTTCCTCACCACCGCTGAGAGAACTGTTGCAGATAAGTCATTATCTCATCTTTAACACTTTAGGTCAATTTTCGTTATTAACTTGCTTTCTGAGGAAGCTGTAGCTAAGAATTTTAAGAGTGAAAAAGATGAACTAAGTATCCATTTTATTTTAATTTATAAAAATAGTATTGAGACAATTAGAAAATGTTTTCAATATCTTTCCTTAGCCGTTTTAAACACTGTTCTTTTTCTTTGAGAAAGCTTATGTATTCTTGTGGGCCTGTGAACTGCCACCTACTGGC